ATTTTTTAAAATTTGACCAGAGAGAGACAGAGAGAGAAAGGAAAAGTGAGAAAGCAAGCCGCCAGGTCCAGGACTTGAACTGCAGTCAACTATTGGGAATCAAGTGCCCTCAACCACCACGCCACCTGCTGGACCCTCTTCTCTTTTTTGGGAAAAAAAAAAGCTTTTTTTACTCATGATAGAGAGAGCACACACATGCAAGAGAGAGAGAGAGAGAAAGACAGAGAGACACACATTCTTTTTTTTAATTATTTTATTTAACTTTATTTTAATTTGACCAGAGAGGGACAGAGTGAGAATGAGAGAGAGAGAAAGAGAGGGAAAGTGAGAAAGCAGGCCTCCAGGTCTGGAATTCGAACCGTAATCAGCCTTGTGGGAGCCCAGTGCCCTTAACCGCCATGCCACCTGCCAACCCCTAAATGTATTCTTTTTTTTTTTTTTTTCCCAAGATGTATTCTTTTTTTTTTTTTTTTCCCAAGATGTATTCTTTTTTTTTTTTTTTTCCCAAGATGTATTCTTTTTTTTTTTTTTTTCCCAAGATGTATTCTTTTTTTTTTTTTTTTCCCAAGATGTATTCTTTTTTTTTTTTTTTTCCCAAGATGTATTCTTTTTTTTTTTTTTTTCCCAAGATGTATTCTTTTTTTTTTTTTTTTCCCAAGATGTATTCTTGACAAGGTCTTATCCACACCTGGATCCCTACTCCTCAGCACCCGGTTTCTTGGGATCTGGGGCTCATGTGCAGGCACCTGTGTGTTTTCAAGCAGACCTTATGTCTTAATTACACTTAGAAAACTTTCTTTCTGAATCACGATCCTCCTGCGTGGTCTCCCGAGTAGATGAACTTCAGGTGTACACAACCGTGCCAGGCTTTCAGGGTGGGTCAGGAATCGAACTGGACTCTGCCATGTGGCCTCAGCCCACCAAGCGATAGCGTGCAGTGCTTGCTACAGCAGGTAGGCCGATGTACGTGCAATTTGTATTAAATTGTCAGAGGGCGCGTGTGCTTGCGTGCCCAAGATCCCGAGAGGCGAATGGAGGAGAAGGGACTGCGGCGTGGCCATCCCTCCTGGGGGGTGATTTCTTGCTTTCTGTCTTCTGTCTCTGTCTTTCTGGCGAGTGCACGCTCCCTATAGCAAAAACCTCTCAAAAAAAGAAAAACAAATTAATTTCAAATATAATCAATAAGTACATGACAGTAGGTATTCATTTCTCTAGACCTTCCTTGTTTCTGAAGTTTTTCATCTCTGACATTTTATTTGCATTTTTTGATGTTTAGTCATTTCACTCACAGTAAGAATAGATGTGATTATTATTTATTTGTTTTTATTCATTATGTATTAACCTGCTTATACCTTTCGTCTTGTTTTTTCTCTTATTTCCCTTGGTACGTAGAGAGTTCTTTGTGTATATAGATATTAACCTGTATTTGTCAGATACTTTACAAGAATTTTTCAGCTTGTCTTTACATTTTGTTTAGTGATTTTTTTTTCCCCATACACAAGTTTTTTGTTTTTGTTTTTTTTTTTTTTTGAGAGATTTTCACTGTAGGGCGCGTGTGCTCGCCAGACAGACAGAGAGACAGAAAGCGAGAAATCACCCCCCAGGGGGGATGGTCACGCCGCAATCCCTTCTCCTCCATTCTCCTCTGGGGATCTTGGGCACACATGCACACACGCCCGGCGTGAGTTTTAAGCCACCGGGTCCGGGACACGAACCGCGGTCGACTACGTGGGAATCCAGCGACATAGCCATTACGCTAACTGCTGGTTCCCCCCCCCCCATACACAAGTTTTTGGTAACCCCAAGCCTTTTGTCATATGTAGAAAAACTCTACACCCTGGGGACCAGCAGATGCCATAAAGTTTATATCACTGGACTCTGGGCTGCAGTCCAAGGCCTGAACCTGGAGGCTTGAAATTCATGCCAGGCATATGTGTGTGCATGCCCAAAATCCCTAAAGGAGAATGGAAAAGAAAGGGTTGCATTTTGGCCATCCACCCTGGGGATGATTTCTCACTTTCTGTCTTTTTGTATCCCTCTGTCTCTGGTGAGCACATGTGCCCTATCGCAAAAATTTCTTGTAAGAAAAAACAAGAAGAAAAACCCTCCACCCTAAAATTATTTTTAAATCATCTATATTTCTATAGTACTTTCATATTTTATTTTAAAACTTTTTTTTAAATTTTGCTATAAGGTACACACGTTCTGCAAAGGGAGGGAGAGTAAGAAAGTGCCTCCAGGGAGGATGGCCATGCTACAATCCCTTCTCCTTTCTCCTCGAGATTTTGGGCGCACACACACGTACCTGGAATGTTTTTATTTTCTTTTTAAGAATTATTTTATTGGACTAGCAGTTCATGTAATGGCTATGTCCCTGGACTCCCATGTAGTTGATCGTGGTTCAAGTCCCGGACCCAGTGGCTTAAACTCATGCCGGGTGCGTGTGCATGCATGCTTAAGATCCCAAGAGGAGAAGAGAATGGAGGAGAAGGGATTGTGGCATGGCCATCCCCGCTGGGGAGTGATTTCTTGCTTTCTGTCTCTCTGTCTGTCTCTGTCTTGCGAGTGCATGAGCCCTATAGCAAAAACCTCTCAAAAAAATATATAGAATTATTTTATTTAACTTTATTTATTTAAATTTGACCACAGAAGGACAGAGTGAAGAGAGAGAGAGAGAGAGGAAAAGTGAGAAAGCAAGCTGCCAGGTCTGGGACTTGAACTATGGTCAGCCATGTGGGAGTCTAGTGCTCTTAACCACCACACCACCTGCCGGCCCCCCTGGCATGTTTTTTAAGCCACTGGGTACAGGACTAAAACTATACAGCCCTGTGGGATCTAGATGCCTTGGCCACCACACCACCATCTGACCCTAAATGTGTGTTCTTGATCCATTTAATTAATGTTGATTTTTAAAAATGGAAATAGTGATAGATCATCCATTTTAAGTAAATTCTGGGTATTTTAGGTTGTGGGGAGGGCTCCTGACCCCTTGGGTATGAAGCAAAACTAGTAGGTTATCTTTACTACACTGTTATTTCTAGATTCCAGTGGATCATATTTTTTCTATTTTGAACAGCTTACTGTTAGGACAGCCTGTTTCCTAGTGGCTAATGTGGCTGGATCCCACATGGCCAACTGCACAGTGCAAGTCTTGGGTGGCGCAAAGTGATCGTGAACACCCTGGCTCTGTGTGCATGCACGCCCAAAATCCCAACAGGAGGGAAACATGGAAGAGAAGGGATTGTGGTGTGAGCATTCCCAAAGGGGGGGGGGTCTTCTTTCTCCTTTTCTCTGTGCTGAACACATACACCTTCTAGCAAATCAAAGCAAGAAAAAGAAAAAAAGAAATATATTACCCTTATTTTCAATTTCTCATGGAATTTCAATAGCAATTGGTTGTTTAAAATGCAAATAAAGATTTCATTATTGAAATTAAACTAGGATTTTGAAAATGCTTCGGGACACAGACCCTGTACTTAATTTCCTAGTTCTTGCTGCAATAGTGGTGTTTGTTTTGTTTTGTTTTGTTTGTTTTGTTTTAAGAGAGGTTTTGCTACAGCAGGGCACGGTGCACTCACCAGAGAGAGACAGAGAAAGACAGAGAGACATCACCTCCCCGAGGGGGAGATGGCCATGCTGCAATCCCTACTCCTCCTTTCTCCTCTCAGGATCTTGGGCACACACACGCGCCTGGCGTGAGTTTAAGCGTCCGGGTCTGAGACTAGAGCTGCAATCGAATGTGTGGGAGTCCAGCAACGTAAGCAAAAATGGCAACGTCTTTTTTTCTAAATGTGCTATAAGGCTCTAGTGCTGAACAGAGGGAGAGAGGGAAAACGAGAAAGTTCCCTGCAGGAGGGGATGG